TAACGGGATGGTAGCATTTCCCATAACTTTCTACTATTTTTTGCAGGAGCTTGAGCATGTTAATAATATTGAGGAGGGTTTGAATGAAAAATATAGTAGCATTTTAGGATACATTTTAGTAACAATTTTCACAATTTTTTACATCTAACAATAAATTTTTCCAATTTTTTGTCATTTAATGATCTGAAATTTAAATGTTTAAATAATCGATTTTATTGTACTCTTCATAAGAACTATATTATTGGTGAAATGATTTGGGTTATATAATCTTATAATGAAAAAAAAATTAAAAAATGTCAATGAACATTTGATGAAGTTGATTTTTTAGTTTTCACGAACTGATTTTTTTATTCCAGGATCGATTTGGCTAACTATGCAAGACAATACCTTTCGGGAAAATGCTAATAAGTCTCGTTAGGAAAACATTCCGTCGGAGTTTTTAACTGTTAGATCATCATGTAACCGACGGAATGGTTCGGTAAAACTGTAAGCATCTAACATTATCAAATCGGTGTTGGAATTAACCTTATGCGAAAACCATCGCTTTATCCCAGGAGCATTCATATCAAATAATCGAGAATCAAACTAGATAGCGGAAGCGTACCTTAGGTAGATTTCTAGATTTGATCACCATGGAACATGACTTGGATCACGAACACATCATCAATCACGAACGGTGTTGGTTTTATGGTCTTCCTCAACTAAATCGCCTTATTCCTCATATGGGACCGTCGTTCTCGATTCCGATGGGGAGAAGAGAGAACTATGTTTGATTTAGTGTATATGGGGACCATAACCAAGAGGGTCTATATATACTAATAGGGTAGGCCACCCATTATCACCTAACCCTAGTAATATTAGGTATCCACTCATTAAGTCCATATCAATTTATGTAGCCCATGAACTCTACTTAATTTAGATCACTTAATTGAGTCCATTAATTAATTGAATAGCTAATATAATATAATTGTATATAATATGTTGCCCATAATTAGATTATACATAGGAAATAAAATATTTCCTAACAATCGGTTCACAAAAACGGTAACTGACCGTCACTTAAAGACAGCCAAAAGAAAAATAAATGCATAAAAAAAAGTACGTACTATTTGATACGCTTCTCAGGTATTTTTTCTTTGTCTTCCCAGTCATGTTTGTCGCGTTTTGTCTTTTTTTATTTTTTTCAATTTTTTGATCTACACTTTTTTTTT